GGTGCGTTTCGGGTACATCAGGGCAGAAATCAAATTTTAGGAGAATTGAGGGGTACCAGAGCAATATTAAGAAAAAAATTTTAAAAAAAGAAAAAAGGAATATACACGAATGATGTTTGTTTTGCCCTAATCTCATCACTTTTGCCCTAATCTCAACACTTCAGCAACACAGCAGCAAGAGGCGACACAGCAGCAAAGAGGCGACGGCGACCCATCCATTCCCTTCGAAGGCCTCCGGCAACGGCGACGCAAGGAGTTCCGGTGAGTGCTTTTCATCTTCTTCGTCTTCATCTTCTTCTTCGCCTTCTTCTTCTTTGTTACATCTTTCACCCCCGTCTTCTTCGTTTCTTCTTCTTCATCTCATATATTTTTTGTTTTGCAGAGATCAACAAGCATCTGATTTTGTCCCTTGTTGCATCTCTTTGTCTTTCCTCCGGTGAGAAACTGGTCAGAATTTTTGGGTGCCCTTGCATATCAGCAAACAGCAAGCAACTGGTTAGATTTTGTTTCTTCATCTCTTCGTCTTCATCTTTATTTTGTTTGTTTTTTTTCTTGTTTCTTGTTTCTTCTTCATAGAGGTAGAACCTGGTCAGAGAGGTAGAACCAAAAAAAAAATTAGAGAGGTAGAACCAAGTTATTCAATCATATTTAGAACAAAAAAAAATTAGAACAAAAAAATTAATAAATTAGAACAAAAAAATTAATAATCAATCATACTTACATAATATTAATAATCAAAAAAATTAATTAGAACAAAATTATTCCTCAACAGAAGAATGTTAATCAAAAAAATTAATTAGAAGTTTAAAACAAAATTAAACCAGGAAACATTACTTTAAGAATATTGAAAGGAGGATGACCAAGACGAAGATGATACAACCATATTTTATGTTTATTGGAAAGAGAAGACTCAGAAAGTAGAGACAATGGAATAGGATCCTTAGTGCCATTTTGCCCGTCAAGTTCTTCAAGAAAGTAGAGCCCATTCCTCTTCCTAGCAAGTCCAATCATCATCCCTGTGCTCTGGTCCTGAAATTTACAGAGTGCAGAAGAAAATGTCACTATACAGTTCAAATCCTTTGTAAGCTTGTGAATTGAAACTAGATTGGTATACAATTTCAACACATGCAGAACATTTTTTAAAACAAAGTTTTGATTTATAACTACATCTCCTCGACCAGCAACTGTAACCAGTGATCCATTAGCAGTAGCAATTTTCTTATTACTAGGACAAGGATTGTAAGAGACAAACCCATGACAAGATTGGGTCATATGATCCGTAGCACCGGAATCCACTACCCAAGTTCCTTTTGAGGTTGACACATTTAGCGCATATGGTTGAGAATTACCTGAAAGAGCCAAGGAACAAGTACCTGCACCACCCGTAGGTTTCTTTGATGTTCCCAAAAAATATCTCAACCTCTCAATCTCTTCTCTATTGAACTCTGATTGCTTCTGAGAGAATTCTTCTTCTCCTTCTGATTGTGTCGAGTTCAAATGCGCTTGTCCTGGCCCTCCTCCTTGATTACTTTTTGCAGTCTAAGGAGAATTTTTAGTATTTGAGGGCTTACCATGGAGTTTCCAGCACCTCTCCCTGCTATGTCACGGCTTCTTATAGTAGGTACACCATAAAGAGTCTTTATTACTTGCTCTTGATCCTTCTGACAGCCCATTATTCCCTCCTACTCCACTGGAATAGGCATTTGACTGCTGCTGGTCTGATTTCACAGCTATGGGATTTGCAGCTTTTGTAACTAAGGCTGAACCATCTGTTGGTTGAGGCTCCATCATAACTCTTTTCGTCATTCTTCTCCACGAATTATGGCAATTGTTTCATTGTGTGAAGGAATTTCTTCCTTTCCCAATACTTGTACTCGGATAGGATCAAACTCAATGTTTAATCCGGCAAGAAGGGTGTAAATCCTTTCTTTTTCCATGAAACGTTTAAGAAGGGCTGCATCATCGCTACACTTCATCTCAATACACCTATGTAGCATGGGTACTCCAAAAATAGTGCCGTACATGTACCGGGTACTTACCGGGTGCGGGTGCGGGTACGTGTACTGGTACGGCTACACGCGTACCGGGTACGGCAATAAGTAGTCCGGTACGTTTGGTTCAATCGGGTACGGCTTGGGTACACCTTTGGTGCGTTTCGGGTACATCGGGGCAGAAATCAAATTTTAGGAGAATTGAGAGGTACCGGAGCAATATTAAGAAAAATTTAAAAAAAAAAGAAAAAAGGAATATACACGAATGATGTTTGTTTTGCCCTAATCTCATCACTTTTGCCCTAATCTCAACACTTCAGCAACACAGCAGCAAGAGGCGACACAGCAGCAACCCATCCATTCCCTTCGAAGGCCTCTGGCAACGGCGACGCAAGGAGTTCCGGTGAGTGCTCTTCATCTTCTTCGTCTTCATCTTCTTCTTCGCCTTCTTCTTCTTTGTTACATCTTCCATCCTCGTCTTCTTCGTTTCTTCTTCTTCATCTCATATATTTTTTGTTTTGCAGAGATCAGCAAGTATCTGGTTTTGTCCCTTGTTGCATCTCTTCGTCTTCCCTCCGGTGAGAAACTGGTCAAAATTTTTGGGTGCTCCTGCATATCAGCAAACAGCAAGCAACTGGTCAGATTTTGTTTCTTCATCTCTTTGTCTTCATCTTTATTTATTTATTTATTTTCTTGTTTCTTGTTTCTTCTTCATAGAGGTAGAACCTGGTCAGAGAGGTAGAACCAAAAAAAAATTAGAGAGGTAGAACCAAGTTATTCAATCATATTTAGAACAAAAAAAAATTAGAACAAAAAAATTAATAAATTAGAACACAAAAATTAATAATCATTTATACTTACATAATGTTAATAATCAAAAAAATTAATTAGAACAAAATTATTCCTCAACAGAAGAATGTTAATCAAAAAAATTAATTAGAAGTTTAAAACAAAATTATTCCTGAACAGAACAATATTTGTCTTTTAGTTTTGTAGTTCTCTTTTTAGTTTTGATATTTACTTTTAATTTGTAGGTTGGGTCCTTTAACCATAATTATAAAAAATAAAAAAATATCGGCGTACCACAGCTGTACCCGTATCATATTTTTTTGGGATTTTGCCGTATCGGCGTACCCGCACTCGTACCCATACCATACTCGTACCCGCACGCGTGCTTCCTCGCAATACACTGATAATGGTCCAATTCCTGCCATAAGTTTTGTAAAATCCGGGCATATTCAGTGACTGAGCGGTTACCTTGTTTGGTAGATGAGATTTTTGTCTTAATCTCATAGATTTGTGCAGCAACTCAGACTTTAGAATAGGTCTGCCTGCAGGCCTCTCAAATCTCCCTTGATGTTGTAAAAAACAATGCAAGCATTGCTAACTTCTGGCATCATCGAATTCCATAACCAGGACATCACCATCGAGTCTTCTTCATCCCACGCAGTGAACTTCGAATCTTTTGGTTTTGGTCCCCTCCCATGAAGATGACTCAGTTTGGCCTTTCCTTTCAAAAAGGTTCGAACAAACTGAGACCACTTCAAATAGTTTTGGCCATTAAGGCGTAAACTAGGTTGAATATTCTGCAATTCTCCAATAGAACTATTTGCAGTAGTGTTGTTCGCGGCCATTGAAGAGACTGCAGGTTTACTGGATTCTGAAAACGTCTGACATAGTTGAAATCGAAGGGAGAAAAGATTATTGGGTTCACGTGAGAATTTTAGGTTATGAATGAACGACAATTAAGGCCGTCGGCAAGAGTTTCAAGCAATGAAGGCCTGGAAAATACAAAAAAGGTTTCTGCACAGATTGAAAAAATAAAATAAAAATCAGCAATGATGAAAGCTGAAAAATTGAAAAAACAAGAAGTCTAACTTGGCTCTGATACCGTGACAGAATATGAGAAATATCTTATTAATATTCTACCAAAGAATGTACAGAAATATATAGGAAAAAACTAAGGTATAAAAGGAAACTCTCCTAAGACCTAATCCCCATAAATCAGGGATATTAACATTCTAGTTATAGGACATATACACAGTTGTAATACATATTTTTTCCCATCTACTGAGTTGTCAAATCTTCACAGCCTATTCATATCATAATTGCCGATTCTAACACATATGATGGCAGAATGATGGCAGAAAGTTTGTGTTGTTAATGTATAAGGTTTGGGCGAATAATAGCAATTGACCAATAAAACAGTCACCATCATATACACTTGATTACTTATTTTTCTCTCTTTCCCACTTCTTTACTCTCTCTCACACGTGCCATGAGCACTCATGTAGTAGTGCCGCCCTTCTAGTGATGAACTAATGACTGAAGTGCAGGATGAACCAAGCCTATGAGAATCATGAAGCTAAACCTCCGGATATCAAAGAATTAAGTTGAAATAAGACTTTCTTTCATTATTGATTTTTAATTTTCCCTCTTTAAGGGTATACAAAAATACGTTCCAAGATCCTCAATTATACAATCCAAGAAAAAATAAGAAGATATTACTACAAATAATGTAATAATGTTCCGAGACCCCAAATCTAGAAATAGAGAAATTTAATCCTGTGTTCATTAATACGACTACAGATAGTGTAATATTGTTCCCAAATTATATATATATAGAGAGAGAAAAATAGTAATAAAAATGTAGAGAGAGAAAGGGGCGATGCTGTGAGGGGGAGGGGCGGGGAGGGGTATTCTAACCTGCACGCGGACTGATTAAACTTGAAACATAAAATCATAATTCATAAATCAAACATAATTTAACAATTAGGATTTTGTTATATACCCAAGTCCAGAACTTGATCCTGCAGTAAAATCATAAATCAAACACAATTTTACAAAAGATATTCCTTGGAATTGGAAGGAGATTTATGGGACCATGCTTGATCAAAATTGGAATGGAATCTGAAGCTTCAAAGCGTAAAGTCAGTGACTTTGGGTTTGCTCTTCTATTCTTGTGAAGCATTGTGATAACCACATTACCCTTCAGATTTTTACATGTAGGGCAATATTACTTCTTGAAGGAAATACTCTGATTTGACACTAGTAAATGTAAGTACCACGAAGTTGCTATCTGTGTTACTTGTCAGACATGTTTGGCCAACTTGTGCTGCACATTTGAAGCTCCAAAGTTGGAAAAATTGCTGGCTCTATGTTGGCACGTTGTCAATGAATGTTACCTTTCAGAATTTTACACGTTGGGTTGTATCACCAGGGAGCAGCTCTTAAATAGGTAGCGGTAATCATGACATTATTTAGAAAATGAGGGAACTTTACAGAAAGTGTCTATTTTGGGCAGATATAATTTTTGTTCAAGTAAAGACCCAAAATAAAATTAGAACTTACAAATATCAATTTATGTGTTTCTGGAGTCTGAGGGATAAACATGCTTGTAGGTTAGTGATTGTAGGAGAAATGAGTTACTGTAAATTGGATTTATATTTTGGATAGCTTGAAATTGTGAGTTTAAAATTTGAAGGTTTATTTTGGGAAACGTAGGGAAATGAAAATTGGGGAGTGTAGTGGAGATAAGGGGGATTCATGGTGAACGTGGGATGAGGGAGTACGAAATAGGGAGTTGGGGATGGGGAGGTACAGAGGGGTGGCGGTTTGCATCAGGGGGAGAGGAAGGGAGTTGTCCGGCAATGGAAGTGGTGATAGGGTGGCTGTGTGGTAGGGGAAGAGGAAGGGGGTGAATGTGCAGTGGTGGCCAGAAACAAAGGGGTGGTGGTTTGTGGCGAGAGGGAGATGTCCGGTGAGGGGAATGGTGTGATGCAATTGGTGCTGTGATGTGATTGATTGCGACCTGATTGGCACTGGGTGATGTGATGTTATGAGCTGCAATTGGCACTGGATGTTGGCGCTAGGAGGTGGGGCTTTTGTGGTGTGATGGTGGTGGGCAGTGGCGGGCAGTGGCGGGTGGTGCTGGCTTGATAGATTGGGGTGGCAGGTTGAGGAGATATAAAGACCACTGTTGTGGAGATAGTGGTGGTGTGATAGGTATGCAGTTGGTGATAGTGGGGTAATAAGAAGATGAAGAACGTGTGGGTGGCTGAGGGGCGGTGGTGGAAGGGGGTAGAGTGAAAAGTGAAGAGAGGGGAAGAAGAAAGACAAGTGGCAAGGCAATGGGCTAGGAAGCACGGATACGGATACGGGATACGGATACGGATACGATACGATACGGCGATACGACAAAATTTGAAAAATTAGGATACGGGTACGGCGGGGATACGTTCGTAAAAAATATTATTTTAACAATTTTTAGTAGTGCAGTATGCATAAAAATAAAACTTAAAGCAAAAGACAGCTTGATAAAGAAGAAAGATTCCTACAAAACTAAGAGTCTTCAAGATCAATAGGTTCAACTTGTTCCCCTTTATCAGTGAATATCACAAGACCTTAGCTAAAGCCAAAACCAAAAAACTATTCTTAAATAAAAATTTCAGTAAATATACTTTTTTAAGTCATCAATGATAGCTTAGGAAGCACGGATACGAATATGGTGATATGGGGATGTGGATATGGCGATATGTCAAAATTTGAAAAAGTATGATACGGGTACAGCGGGGATACATTCATAAATTTTTTTTTTTATATAATTTTAATAATGTAATATGCATGAAAATAAAACTTAAAGTAAATTAATAAATAAAGAGAGGGATTCCTATTAACCTAAAAGTGCTCAAACATTCATAAAACATCCAAAACTAAAAGCAAATGCAAAGGCAAATTAAACATCATCCTTACATGCCAACATCAAAAAAAGAATGAGAGCAGAGAGAAGAAACGTGAGAGAGTGAGAAAGCGAGAGAGAAGTGAGAGAGACAATAAGAATACATCAATTTGACAAATTCTATTACTTTAGCTCTCAGTATATTCCTTTTATGAAAGAACTAAACAAAATATTATAAGTAATATGTAACTTCGAGTATCTGATACTTCAAAATTAAGTATCCGATACTTCAAAATTAATAAAAAATTAATTAAAAAGTATCCGATACTTTTAAGAAGTATCTGATACGTATCCGTGAGTATCCGAGGAGTATCGGTATCCGACAAGTATCCGATACGGATACGTTACCCTTTTTGAAGTATCCGTGCTTCATAGGCAATGGGTAGATGGTGGTTGAGGTCACAGGAGCAGTTGGTGGATGCCACACCAGCAACTTTTGCTGCCATCTTCTACAGCCAAACCTCCATCTCTTTCTCCTCTCTCTCTCTCTGTGCTTGCACTGTCAAATAAAAAATACTTAATTACATCTTAAATAAAGAAATTTATAGTGGTTATTTAATTAAATATTTTGCATGACGTTAGCATATACAGTAACTTCATTAATGATCTTTAACGACATGGGTCAAATTGTTACGTGAATTTAAAATTTATGAGAGCTCAGTGCAATTATGCCAACACTGTAGGGTTTATTGTGATTTTTTCAAAGCTCAGGAGAGGTCAGTTACCTAGTTACTTTCAACATTTAGATTCAAAGCTTTGCATTGTTTCTCATGTACAGTAATTGAATTGTTGTGATGTTTGTATACCAAATATGTGGACATCATGAACAATCTTTCTGTCAACCTTCCCAACATTTCTTATTATATATACATCCTTAGTGCTTCTCTTCAATTTGTGCTCTTAGGCTTTCTTTATGCTTTCATCTATAGTTCTTCTACATACCAGCGTTTGAAAAATGCAAGATCCAAACATGCTGCTATCTGAGGAAACTTCAGTTCCTAAGCCACGTAGAAAGAAACCCTCAACCCAAAAGGCTTCCAAGTCACAACAAGGGCACAATGTGAAAGGGTTTCAAGAACTGTTGCCCCCTCTTCCAACTCAAACGGCGAAGAAAGCCTCAAAAAGAGCATTGAAGAATGAAACTTTCCCATTGTTCCAACAACCAGAGAACTCACCCTCTGATTCACTGCCAGACTCGTCCTCATCTGGAAACGAGTACAGGGCACTGAGAAGAAAGTATTTGTTGCTGGAGGAAGAAAGCTTTGGGCTAGGGAGAGAGTTGGGAGAAGTTGAAGATGAGGTCAAAACCCTTGAAGATGAAAAGCTTGCACTCTTGGATGAGCTTGTTGTGTTAGAAGGCCTCATCGATCCTTCAGAGTTGCAGTCGCAGAAGGGCGAGCGTTTACCATAGCTCCTCCCAAGTTAGCTTCAGTTTTTGTTTGATAACTGAAGTCTACTTTGATATGAATGCATGGACATTTGGTAAACTTCATGGGCAAGTTGTGTACCAACAGAAGTTTGTTTATATTTAGTAATTACCCAATTAAATTGTTTAAACATCCTATTACTTGTACTCTGATTGTACAAAAGTCATGCCTTCCAGATTTGCTCCCAAATTTCTGCGACATATGGAAGAAGCAAGCAAAGTATTTGTTGCTTAATTCTGTGTTTGGATCATGTCTTTATGGAGAGGGAATTGAATAGGAAATGGAGAATACTTTTGTTTTTTCTGTTTCTTGGTTGGGTTAAGAAAATGAGAATCAAAAGAATAAATCAAAAAAAAAAATCTAATTCTCTATTTGGTTACCCATTGATAACAATCAGTACTCGGTTGGTCTGTGGTGGTTACTGGATCCACAAACTATCTGGGCTGGACAGTCAGACTTTGGGCCTTCCTAAGAACTCTTTGATCGGTGTCTTTCTCAAGGGCCTTCCGATGAGCAAGTTAATTCTCTTGAAGATAGAGAGTAATGGAGGAATGTAGAAAAAGATGAGAATCAGATAAGATACGTGGAATGTATATTTCGGTTGTGCATATACCCTGACCTGCCAAGAGGGAACGTGCTCTTGGGACGGCTTGCTCCTCTCATAGGATGCTGTGTGGCACATACTTCTTGGGTCATGCATACATAGTTGTACACCTACAAGTTCAGGTGGCAAGGGGAACAAACAAGGGACATGGCGCGTTGTGTGTTGTGTGTGATTGTACTGCACCTAGTACGGAGGATGGCGGAGGTTGGCCGCGTGTTCTGCACCCTTTGACAACGATCATCCGACCCGGTTGTTTGGTCAGCCATGGCTGACGGAGGGGGTGACTGTCATTAGCCGGGCCTTGGTCAAGCTGGATTGGATAGACTGGTCTACATGGGCCTGCACTGGCTTGGGCTGGTTCACATCACCCATAAAAAAAAAAATGAATATGTATAATTAATTTCAGTTTCTTTTCGTTTAGACGAATCTAAGATCCAAAACATAAGGAAGAAAATGATTGAATCAATAATCCTTCATTCAATTGGAAGCCAATTCTTGAAGCAAAAGCAAGTCATTGGCTGAAATTTGAACGCGCTCATAACTGTAACAAATTTACGCTTACAATATACAGAAATTAAAAATAATAATAATAATTAAGGAATTTGAATTCATGTTGCTTTAATGTGGGGTTCTTTAGACAGATGACAATGATTTCAATGCTAGACAGCACAAAGAAAAAAAACTCCGCTACTTTTTTTGACAATTGATGTTGATATTCATTCAAGTTTTGCAGCTGAATTCTACTTGGTATGCTTCTAGTATTAGTACTATTCTCAGAACTCCTACTTAAATAAATTCTTCAATTTCAGCTCTGTCATCTGAGTAACCCATGGTCAGAAGGTGCGGCACGGACAACCAATGGTGTGGTTACCCATGTTGTTCTGCTTCTCCATGTCAAGAACCCAAATTCATAGCCCTCTGATGTAGCTTCTACTTCGAAATTAACAGTAAAATTCATCTTCTCCCCATACCTACTAAAGACCAATCGCTCAGGGGCAACCGTGACATTGATTCCCATTGGAGGAGACACTACTGCTACGTAAACGCTTCTCGGGACCCCAACGTTTGTCACAGTCCGTGTAAGCGAGAACTTGTACTTGAGATTGGGTACTGCGATGGATGGATAATTGAGGCCAGTTGGTGTTGCGAATGTTCGATCACACGTGCTGTTATCTCCTGTTATCAGTTGCAGCAACTTGTCATTGTAACCAATTGAACAAAGAAAGGCTTTGTAATCTTCTGGTTGTGCGTCGTAGATGAGACCAGGGTCCAAGGCTCTTGTTGGGTTCACAAAGCCAGCACCATAATCAAACGCATTTGCCTTCCTTCCTTCCGGGTCAACTGTGATAGGTTTGCCATTCTTGTCCAACAAATCAGCTGCATTTTGTAAGCTCAGCCTCAGTTTTATGGGAAAAAGGCTACAATATGACTTGACACCACAATTTTGGTCTTAAACATGTTAGTTGAGGAGTATGGGACTGTGGTTTCCAGAAAACGAAAACAGAAAACGAAAACACAACCAAATAGACATGCTGCTAGTTTTGAAACCTAATTTTTTTTTTTTTTTACCGGTTGTCATGATTGCAGATTTGATTGCAGATGGTGACCACGATGGATGCACAGTTTTGATCAAGGCTGCGATTCCTGTTACATGTGGGCAAGCCATGGAAGTGCCAGAGAGAATGTTAGAAAGCATATTTTCGGATGCTGGAGACCATGCTGCTAGGATATTCAATCCAGGAGCTGTGATGTCGGGCTACAAGGAAAGTGGGAATCAGAAAAGAAATCACCACGAGAAATGAAAGTAAATAATCCTGTACAAAAGTAAGCCTCTAATATGAAATTTACTTTCAAAATTTCTGGAGTTAAGCTATTGGGGCCTTTTGAAGAGAACGCTGTTACACAAGGAGCAGACTGAGATCCTAAGACCGTCTTTGCAGAGAAAATCCTAGACGCTGGTTCCCTGTCCATTGAAAAAGCATAAAGCTTGAAATACAGACAGAAAAAGAAGAATACCGACACGTGCTTTCACCTCCATCATCATCAAGGGAGGGAAAAAAAAAAAAAAACCCAACCGTGTGCGATTAATGTAAGACAGGATCTTGTTCCCTATTCCTGTTCCAACAATAGCTGCCGGGATCACAAAGGGAATGGCAACTCTTTCTTCCTCTTCATCTACAAGAATCATCCCTACTCCACCAGCTGCTTTAACTACCCTACTCTTTTCCAGCTTTGACTCCGTTGAAATTCCAACGTGTCGGCACACCAAAACCTTCCCTTTGGCTTTAGTACTGTTCAGCGAACTCTCCAAGCAGTAACTAAAGAGAGACAAATGAGAAAATAAACGATATTAAGTTCTTCCCCTTGACCGCATAGATGTCTAGATTGTACTCACACCCAAGTACCTTTTGCTTCACCTTGATTGATAAGGAGTGAAGTATCCGGCATAGGCATCCGAAGCAGAGATGATCGTCCTGGACGTGTTCATTTGAAGTAGACTCAGACTCTGACCCTATTCAATCACTGAACTAATAAGGGTCTCATAATCAAGTCAAAATTGTCTCAACACATCAAGAACTGAGTGGGAATTATTACCACGATGTTATCGCCATTTCCAAGTCTGATATTGGATACAAAGTCCCTGTCGGTTGAGCTGGCAGCGACAGTGATGATCCACGGAGCAAGGTTTGTTGCAGACCCCCGAATCCCTCCATTTCCAACCGAAGCAACAACAGTTATTCCATGGCTGGCAGCGTGGAACGATCCCACAGAGATAGCATCAGTGAAATAGTCTCCCTGAGGGGATTCGGTTCCCAGAGACAGTGACAAGACATGGACCCCGTCTCTGATAGCATCGTCGAAGGCAGCCAATATGTCGACATCATAGCATCCCGAGTTCCAACATGTCTTGTAGACAGCAATTCTGGCCATCGGTGCACCTCCTCTGGCTCCCCCGGCTGCCAAACCCTTGTAGTTCATGTTTGCCACATAGCGTCCAGAGGCAGTTGAGGCTGTGTGGCTGCCATGGCCAGAGCTATCCCTCGGGGATCTGAATGATGCCGTGTTAACTGAATTTTCTTCGGCTTCGTAGCCACTCAAATAGTGTCTTGCTCCTATTATTTTCCTGTAAAATGGCAGTTTTAGTTGATAGATAAAATTCACATTCATCAATCAATCAAAGTCCATGAAAAAAAGTTTAAAAAGTTTGGTACCTGTTGCAATTTGAAGCATTGAATGATTCCCCTGATTGGCATTGCCCCTTCCATCCGGCAGGCACCGGAGGCATGCCAGCGTCGCTAAAACTTGGGCATTCCGGCCAAATTCCTGTGCTTAAATTAATCACAATTTCACAGAGAGAGAGAGAGAGAGAGAGAGAGATTAGCAGTTAAATATGAAACCGCATTGAATCATTGGGTGCTACTTTGTTGCAGTTGAGCTTGACTTGTCCTGATTTGATCAAACTTGTTAGGTAGATAAGTTAAGGTTGAACATATTCCTAAACTCGAACTCAACTCGAACTCCGCTTGTGTCCTGCTTAGCATTTAATTTTTAAACAAGTGGTCTCAAGTTCAGAAAAAAAGAGGGTGGTCGTGTGTTAGGTAGCATGACAGTCAACACACAAAAATTATTGAAACTTTGTTGAGTTTCTAAATCAAACTTGAGGCCCATTCGTGGGCTTGACCCCTAGCTACAGAGCGACTAGTTTGTGTTCGGTTTTCAACTACTAATCGTAGGAAGAGCCAGAGACTCTTTTGCATCCTCAATTGAACTAATAAATGAAGGATGCCTCATTTGTACACACATATATTGGTAGCATTGTCTAATAAATGAACCAATTGGTCTGTAAAAGGGAGAGAAAACTAACCAGTATCAATGAAACCAATGACAACATTAACTTGATTCTTGGTAGAATATCCTGGGATTTCCATGGTTTCTTCACCCACAAGTCCCATGAAATCCCATGAATGTGTGGTGTGCAGCCTCCTCCTGTTATTCCTAAACACCGACACCACTCCCGGCATCTCTGTTTCCATTTTTTCAATACAAAAACAATTTGATAGTCATGAATATGAATTTATCAAATGATGAGAAATTGTTGTAGTAATGGTTTCATCAATATGTACCGGCTAATTGGGAAGCTTGGTCCTCTGTCAACTTGGCTGCAAAGCCTCTGAAACCATGTCTGTAGCTGTATAGATGAGATGCTCTGGCTTGTTCAACACTGTATCACAACATAGTCATCAATAGAACACAGTGCAATCAACACATCCAATATTACCCACCAACACCAATTTGTATATCAACCTTGAAAATTACTAGAATTTGATGTGGATCAGATAAGGGCATATTAAAGTTGGAGTAAGAGTATATCAGTCAATACGGTTTGATATCATTTATAAATAAATCTAGCATTCAACAAAGCCATTTGAAGATAAAGAAGAAGAATGCAAGAGCAACAAAATTTGAGTGTGAAAACACTGATTTACAATTCAAGAAGGGAAGAAAAAAGCATTGGGCTGACCTTCCTTTATGAATAGCAGTAAGCATTTGGTGGTTTTGCAACAAAATTTCATCTGGGTCATAACCATCTCTACTTCCCATATAGACCACATAAACCTGCAATTTTAAAGAGGCAAGGGAAAGAACTTCAAATTTTCATCAGAGTATCCACCAAGCTCATGAAACATCACAGCATAGCCTAATTACACACCTTGGAAGAAAAACAGAAGCCAACTTCAGCAAGAAAAAGGCAAAGAAATAGATAAACAATACCACCACTATTAGTAGTAGTAGCAGTATTTCTCGATAAAACCATTTCCAAGTCTCAAACTGGTTAAACCTTTTGTGTGTACCCTTTGTAAAGAAAGAAGAAAATCAAGTCTTTTTTTAGCGCTCAGAGAGAGAGAGAGAGAGAGATTGATTTAAAAGAAGGGAAAGGGGGAGAAGGGAGGTCACAGATATAGTTTGATGTGGTGTGTATTGCTAGGCCAAGCATCCTCTATCTTTAATTTACTCAGTTCCCCCCTTATCTTAATGTATTCTAACTATTGAATCATATAAAATTTTTGAAATGTAATTCAATAATTGAAATTGTAATGACAAAGTAACAAAAGCATTTAAGAAACTTGTTGATGGATTGCAAATACATGTATATATATATATATAAGATGCTATGAATTTGAGCTGTCCCTTTTTGGTAGGCTCACTCTGCCTGTTTAGATCCTTATAAATTATTTACATAAAAAATTAAATTAATTCAACATTTTGGATGATTAACAGTTACATGATTATATTATATTTATTTTAAGAAAATTGATTATAATTTTGGATGAATTTGTGACAAATTTGATAAAATGAAAGGTTAGCAATCACAAGAATGAGTCCACAATAAACTTCAGACTGAAAGGCAAAGCAAGAGGTTGCCGTGACTTGGACGGAACAGACAACCCAAAAAGGTACAGAGAGAGAGAGAGAGAGCAACAAATTCAAGCTTTACATTATTACAATTACATTGATGTGAACGCCAAACAGAATTGCCGCACACGGCTCCACTCCAACAATTCAGGATACCCTTAATAAAAAAATCTTCTTTCATTTCTCAATTTTATAAAGAAGCAAAAAGAAAACAAATTTTTTTTTTTCTGTTGATAATAATAATACATTATATATCTAACAATAGATCGTTTAAATAGATCCCAAAGAAATGAAGAGAACTTCCGCACGACACAAGGAGGATACGATCCTCTACATAGAGAAAAAAAACAAACCTCCATGCACGGAGAAAGAAATCTTCACACAAAGACGCATTATAGCTACACAAAAAAATAAAAATAAATAAATAATCAAAATAATTACCTCCCAAAAAAACGTTATCAATCACCTTTACTATTTGTTCATCATCGCAACTGAGAGCTGTGGTACCTTATAATCGCCACATCTACGCTATAAAATAAAACATTCTTAATCTGAGACAGAAATGAAGAGAGCATAAGACTAGGGGTCACGTGGCCCTCTTAAGTTTTCAATATTTATGTTATTACTCTTATACATATCATTTCCCTTCTTAAGTATGTAATTTTTTGAAAAAAATAAATTAAAAGTATTCAACTATATATATTTTTTGTCATTGTTGTATACTCGTAGATGGGAAGCCAATGGTAAAATTTGAATCAATTGATCATTTCTTTCTTATTAACAGTTTGTTTTGTTGATTGTTTCTCTATATTGTGGGGCTCTTTATTGAGTTGATGTTGTTAAACTTGTTAATCTTAGATTCACTCGGGTTGTTGATTGTAGATAAATATAAGTCACGATGATGTAATTTTTATCATAATTGTAATATTGAATATCACCAATGGCGTGCGCGCGCGCACACAAAAAAAAAAAAATCAAAACAAAACAAAATTTATAAATTGAATAATATCTCATTCTTGCTTATTATGGATTTTTTTTTTGAGGAATTTACATATAGGTCCTACACCTACTAAGTGGACTTATTATCCAATAAATTTTATGATAATTAATAACATTTCTCATCATACACTATTAAAAAAAGTCACTAATTGTTAATTTTTAGCGATAGATTGAAAATTTTGTCACAAAAAATATTACTAATTATAAGTTTTAGCGACAATTTTAAAAAATCATCACAAAAGGTAACTAATTTTTAACTTTTAGTGACAGTTTGAAAAATTCATCATAGAAAAACGTCACTAATTATAAGTTTTAACGACAATTTATAAAAATCGTGACAAAAAAAGTCACTAATTGTCAATTTTTAACGACATGTATAAAAAATCGTTACCAAAAATTATTTTTAGCGACGATTATATTATAATTTATTTTCAATAAGATTTGATGGGAATTAAATCCAACTATTAAGATCTATTGGTAGTTTACCTATTTTTTTTAATGTTAATATATGCCCCATCTGCTTTGAATTTATGGCTTTGTCATTGATTTGAAATGGTCACCTAATGTATAAAAGTGCATTTATCAGCGTCAGATTTTAGTCACGAATTATATCTGAGTCTAGATCTAAAAGTTTTGTTGGTGGCAAGCCGAAAATGGAGACAAGATGAGTGATAGTAACTAACATGGTGATAAACAAGAAAAAAAACCGCAGGAAAAAAAACAAAAGAGAGATAAAGGTTGAAAACACCACTCTCCCCCTCCCTCACCCCCAACAGAGCAATTTGCTTTAATCAATTAGAAAAAATGAAAATAAAAAGTAAAAATGAAAGAAAAGAGCAATTTAGGAACCCTAAATATACACCACATCACATTTGAGTATTGTGTAGGAATTATGATAATTCATTTAAAGTCTCAAGTATTTATTTTTATTTTTATTTTTTTACAAGAAAATTAACTTTGTTGTAATTTCTACAACTTTCATTATAAACAAACTAAAAAATATTTGATTTTTTTTCTCTCTTATTTTCTACTACTTTCATATTAAACAAATTCAACCTAAAGAGAAACAAAAAAAGTAAAAGGGGACTTTTGTGTAGGTTCTAATAAATAGACTTATTGTTCAATAGGTCCTATAAGAATTAATGACATTTTTCATTAAGCACTATTAAAAAAAGTCACTAATTGTTAAATTTCAACGACAATTTAAAAATTTTTCACATAAATGTCACTAATTATAAGTTTTAGTGACGGTTTAAAAAAAACCGTTATAAAAAAAGTCACTAATTTTTATTTTTCAGTGACAGTTTAAAAATTCGTCAAAGAAAAACATCATAAATTGGGACAAATTACATATTGCACTCCTACACTTTGAATCAAATCTCACTTTTGCGTCTACATATGAAATCATGATAGTTAATCCCTATACTTCTGGTCAAATCTCACTTTAGTCTTTACATATAAAATTGTGACAGTCAACCCCTTACACCTTTAGTCAAATCTCATTTTGATTCCTACACAAGTGTCAATGTCTCATTTTTGTTACTCAATTGTTTAAATCTTTAACAAAATCTAGTCATGTGACAAGAATGTGACTACGACATTAGAGTAAGAGAGGAAAATCATTCATATTTTTATCAATACACACTTTGTCACAAATTTCACATCAAATTATGACTATACTAGGTTAAAACAAAATGCAGATTGTGAACAATTAAGAAAATGAATTAGGGTTTTGCATAAATTAGAATCACGAAACTCTATTTTTCACGGTAACTCAGTTTTCTGTCTATTCATCTTTCTTTTTCTTTGATTTCTTTGTCGCATTTTTTTATTTTAAAAGTTTTATTTTCTTGTCCATTTGTCCTAATTTTTAGCATATGAACACACGCACACATATGTGTGTGTGTGTGTGCATGCGCGCTTATCACGTAGAACAAAGTGTAGTGCTGGGAAACATTGATGATTTTCCTCTCTTACTCTTATTTCGTAGTTACATTTTTATCACATAATTGGATTTTATTAAAGATTTAAAATAAAGTAAAAAAGAGGGACATTGATATTTGTGTAAGGACCAAAGTGGAATTTGAGCAAAAATACAAGGAGTTGACTATCACGGTTTTATATGTAGGGACCACAGTAGAATTTAAGCAGAAGTGCAAGAGATTGACTATTATGATTTGATGTATAGGGACCAAAGTGAGATTTGGTGCAAAATGCAAGGGTGTAAAGTGAAATTTACCCTTGTAAGTTTTAGCGACAATTTATAAAAATCGTGACAAAAAAAAAGCTACTAATTGTTAATTTTTAGTGACATATGCAAAAAATCGTCAAAAAAATTATTTTTAGGGACGATTTTATTAGAACTTATTTTTAATAGGACTTAATAGGAATTAGATCCAATCCCTTTTATGGGGATATTTACAGAAAAATCTCATCTCACAAACAAGTACTCCAATTAGTTCCAAGTTTTTTTTATTGATCTGTTAAGTCCTATTAGTGGAGAGTTTCTTTCCGTATGGTCCTATTTTATTTTGATAGTATTATGGTGGACAACTATACCATTTTATTAATGTGATAGGTATGATGTGATACTCTAATGTGACAAGTATGAATGTCACACTCCAACGATGTGATAGTCCAAAAAAATTAAAAACTCTTTAGTATATTTTTCTTAAATGTGACAACATGTCGGATATGATGTGAAACTCCAAAATTTTTACTCCAAAAAATAAAAATAAAAATAAAAATAAAAACTTCTTAGTGTACTTTTTCCAAATGTGACAACGTGGCGAATATGATGTGACACTTCAACAAAAAATAAAAACTATTTACTATACTTTTCTTAAACGTGACGACGTGATGGGTATATGTGACGGTTTAAAAAAAATAAAAATCCCTTAGTGTACTTTTTCCAAACGTGATAACGTAACGGGTATGATGTGACACTTCAAAAAAAAAAAAAAACTCCTTGGTATATTTTTCTCAAACATGACAACGTGGAATGTGACAACGTGTGATGGGTATGATACGACACTCTAAAAAAATTAAGAACTCCTTAGTGTACTTTTCTCAAATGTGACAACGTGTCGGATATGATGTAACACTCTAAAAAAAATAAAAACTCCTCAGTGTACTTTTCTTAAATGTGACAACGTGGCTAATATGTTGTGACACTTTAAAAAAATAAAAATTTCTTAGTGTATTTTTCTCAAATGTGACAACGTGGCGGGTATAATGTGACATTCTAAAAAAAAAAAAATTAAAAACTCCTTAGTGTACTTTTCCCAAACATGATATGTGATACTCCAATGTGGCAGGTATGATGCGACATTAAAAACTCTTTAGTGTACTTTTTCCAAATATGACACTCCAATGTGGTATGCAAACGAATCATTACACATCCAAAATGACTAAATGGATCAGAAGAAAAAATATGGGATTATATGGATTACAAGTTCAAAATACGGGACTTATTGGTCAATCTTTTATTATTATGACCTATTAATAATTTATCTAGACAAAAGACACCATGATATTCCGATATTATCTCTTGATAAAGCTGCTAGAATAACCCACCAAAACGGGTGTTTTTTGTTTTGTTTTGTTTTTTGGTTCTTTTACACTTACCTCCTTTGGAGTTTTAAAAAAAAGTCTTTATCTCATAGATTTAACATAATTATATTGATATCTTTTGTAATAAGATTAAATAGATCGAAATTAATATAAATGGCATGAAAACATAAGATAAATCAGATAAAATATACATTTTATAATAAAAAGGATGGCAATATTATTTTTTACGATTAACAAATTCTTGATAAAAATGGGCCAAGTGTTAAATAAATTAAAATTTTAAGGGAATCCAATTGAATTATTTCAAATTTATAGAGCTTACTATATTTTCTCTAAATCTTAGATAAGATCAACATGATTTACCTTTTTTCATATTTTGTTGATTTAAAAAAATTACAAAATGAAAAAAATATATAATGTAAACTCATGCTTGTACGAAAATAGTTTGGTAATCAAAAGAAAAGACGGAACCAAGATTTCATTGTTGGGGAGACTAGTAGAAAGTGTTAGGATGATTTCCTAGGACGTATTTAAAAGTGATTTTTTTTCTACAATTTCAAATAATTATTCATAATTGTTCATACAATTTGATTTGATGTTACACTAATAATGCTAAAGACTTTCAAAATATCAGTTCTAAATTTGGCAGGGAGTTAGGTTTTAATTGGTTGACTTCTAAACCAATCAGCAACTAATATGCAACAATACGTGTCATTATGAATAAAGTTAAGGATAATATTTTAAGAGTTTAAGCAACATTTTGATTGAAAACCATTAAGGTTATGTTTGGATCATAAATTTAGATAGAGATTTAAAAGGAAAAAAAAAAGTGAGAAAAATGGAGAGAAAAAAAAAACTTATAGTTCCTTTATATTTCTCCCACTTTTTCCTTTCTCTACAAATTTTTATCCAAATTTTAGATCCAAACATAACTTAACCAAAAAAAGAGAGCGAAATGAATGGAAATATAAACAATAACAGAGTAAGAGGGGGACCACATACCATAAATGGTTTTTTTTTTGTTTTTTTTTGATCATAGAAATGCCCGAAGGCTACAAAGAAAAGCCCAAAGGCTACAAAGAAACATCCGCCAAAAGCAAAGCCGAGAGAGCAGCAGGAGGGATAGAAACCCAGTTAGAAGGCAGAGCTCCATGAAGATGAGCTCGTGCCACCCAGTGACCTACTGCGTTTGACTGCTTAGGAATCCAAGCAAAGGAAACTTGGGAAGAGGAAGACACAACCTGAATATCATGCAGGAGTGCAGCAATGTCCCAGGGAGGAGCCATCTCAGAAATACAAAGGGTGATCACTTCTTGGCTGTCACTCTCCACTTGAAGATTCAAAAAACCCAGAGCTCGAAGAAACATGCAAGCAAGACGAATAGCATGAGCTTTTTCTTGTTTAGCTGAAGAAGAGTAGGCTATAGAGGTCACACCATCAATTAGTGTCCCGTGGCTATCTCGCAGAATGACAGCCAACGCTGCTCTACCATCCGAAGAGGAGAAGCTGGCATCACAGGAAACTTTCAAACAACCAAGGGAGGGGAGCTATCCAACAAGGGAGAGAGCGATCTGGAATAGAATTCTGCTGTGATTGAGGCCCGGGGTGGTGATGGGCTTGTTCAAATTCCCACCAATAAGCACAGGCTTGTTGAGAAACGCGATGAGGATCCACAGAGCATTGTTGAAAAACCCAATTGTTCCTACTATTCCATATACACCAACCAACGGTGGCCACCCTACTCACCATCTCTCTTCTGTCAAGCGCTTGAGAGCAAGATTGCATCAGAGATACCGTCCACTGGAGAGCTGAAGCAATCAAATCGGACCCAATTCGGAGCCCCAGATTGCATCCAAACCACACGGCTCTCACCCAGTCACAGTGGAAGAGAATATGCTTGATGGATTCAACACTTTCCTGACAAACCGGACAGTGAGGTGAAGGAGCACACTTCCGCCGAAATAGATTTTCTTTTGTTGCTAGCCTGTTATAGCATACTCGCCACCAGAAATTTCGGATTTTCGGGGGGATGTTTAAGGACCAAATGAACTTCCAGAAACCTTTAGGGGGCTGGACAGAGGAGGAAGCTACAGAGGAGCGCGCTTCCAACATCTCTTGTCGGGCCACCTGATAACCACTCTTGACTTCATAATTTCCTTTATTGGTATAGTGCCAGATCAGAGTATCCGCTTGACCCTCAGAAAAGATAGGAATGACTGAGATATTACTAACATCCTCGTGATTGACAATCCCCAGAATTTTGTCTCTGTCCCACACAGCGTGGGTCGAATTGATAACATCCCCGACCCACTGAACTTGGTAGCCATCTGGTTTCAAACTGACCGGTTTAAAATTTGGAGAAGAAGGAATCCAACGGTCCTCCTAAAAATTAATGGACTGACCATTACCAACTTGCCACCGAAGGCCTTTACGAAGGAGATCCCTCCCTTGGAGAATGCTCGACTATGCCCAAGATGCCCTTCTCCCCCTTCCAGCTGAAAGAAAATCCGAAGATGGAAAATAAATTCCCTTTAGAAGTTGGGCACAAAGGGAGTTGGGAAATTTAAACAACCGCCAAGCTTGTTTAGCGAGAAGGGCAAGGTTGAAAGCTCTAAAGTCCCGAAAGCCCATACCCCCATGAGACTTGGTGAGAGAGAGTTTGGCCCAACTCGCCCAGTGGATGCCTCTATCCTCTGGGTCGCCACCCCACCAAAAGTTACGGGTGTAGAAGTTAAAATGATCGCTGAATTTTTTGGAAGCATGAAACAGGACATTGCATAGGAAGGAATTGCTTGGACCACCGCTTTCACAAGGGTTTCTCTATCGGCTTGTGATAGTAATCTCCACTTCCACCCTTGCATTTTCTGAACAGCTCTATCTATGAGACAATTATAAGCTTCAGACTTTGATTTTCCCCAACTAGAAGGAAGCCCAAGGTATTTAGAAGTTTGTTGGGTAGGGGAGATGCCCAAATTGCTGCAAGTATCTAGACGGGTCTGAGCCGGAGTGTTAGAAGAGAAGGCAATCCCAGACTTGTCTAAGTTAATGAGCTGTCCCGAAGCTAAGCAATAAGACTCCAGGGTCTGTTTTAACGCTAGGCATTCCTCCGCTTCAACCTTGGCAGCGAAAAAAAGGTGTGTCAATGGAGGGCTACTGTGCTTGATCTTAAGGCCCTTGATCCGTCTTTCATGAAGGCTCTTGGTCAGAGAAGCAGAGAGGACATCAGCGACCAGAACCAAGAGATAAGGAGAAAGGGGATCACCCTACCTCAAGCCCCGAGTGGGGATAAAGGAAGCACGTTTCCTCCCATTAGCAAAGACTGAGAAAGACACCGTGGTAACAACTGCCATAATCCATTGAATTCAGAGACCAGCAAACCCCATCCTCTCCAAGAGGGCAGATAAGAAATCCCATTGAACTCGGTCATAAGCCTTATTAAAATCCAGCTTCACCGCCATTGCACAGTCGACCTCTCTCCGCTTAAGTTTCAAGTGGTGGAAAACTTCATGAGCTATAAGAATATTGTCTTGGATCACACGACCGGGAACAAAAGCTGACTGATGAGGAGAAACCACCTGTTGGAGAATGGGTTTAAGCCTATTAGCCAAAATCTTAGAAATGATTTTTAGATTGAAATTACACAGACTGATGGGACGATATTGAGAGAGCTTGACTGGATTTGAGACCTTGGGGATAAGGACCAAGTTAGTTTGGTTCCATTCTCGAAGAAGATGCCCATTCTCAAAGAAGCTCCGAATTGCCTTGGTCACTTCCGCCCCAATCACATCCCAATACTGGTGGTAAAAGATCCCAGAAAAGCCATCAGGGCCAGGGGCTTTCAAAGGACCCAACTGGAAAGCTGCCTTTTTTATCTCCGAGTCAGATACAGGTCTTGTGAGAGTGTGATTCATGTCGGGGGTAACCGAATGCCGAACCCCTTGCAATACAACATCCATAGTCCTTAGAGGCTCACTCTTAAACAAGCTACTGAAATACTCCAAAATTAGGGAGTTAATGTCGTCATCCGTTGTCAACCACTGCCCCGCTTCATTTTGAATAGCACTTAACTGATTTCGTTGCCGTCTTTGAGCAAGAGAGGCATGAAAAAAAAAAGAGTTACGATCGCCATATTGTAACCACCTGACCCGGGACCTCTGGTGTAAGAACATCTCTTCCCGTAACATAGTTTCATAAAGTTCAGCTTGAATACGACCTAGGGCATTTGAAGTGTCCACAGAGGAAGGAGAAGCTTGAAGCCTCGCCAACTGCTCTTTCAAAGCTAGAATTTTGACCCGGTTATTTCCAAATTCACTCAAACTCCAGGCTTTAAGACCCCTGCGGCATGTTTTGAGTTTCTGGAAAAATCGAAACATGGGAGAACCCAATTGGGACATCATCCAATGCTCTTGAATAACTGTTCGGCAATTTGGAGAGGTAGTCCACATGGACTCAAACTTGAAGAGGCGAGGGACTTTATCAGGGGGAATACAAGTATTGAGCAAGAGTGGACAATGATCAGAGCCGAAAATAATTTCATGAAACACTTGGGCATAGGGAAATAACACCCTCCAAGCCATTGTGGAGACCGCCCGATCTATGCGCTCCCGAACTATATGCTTGACCCCCGACGATTGTTAGACCAAGTAAACACGTTGCCTTTGAACTCAAGATCCATGAAAGCACAGTCATTCAAAATAGATTGAAATTTTTCAATTCGTCGAGGATTCGGCACAATTTCTCCTTCTTTTTCGGTGACAGACCCGATCTTGTTGAAGTCCCCGATACACAACCACGGCAAACGGTTGTCCTTTGCAATAAGCCGGAGTTGGTTCCAGAAGACATCTCGTTGACTAGCTCTAGCAGGGGCATAAATAAAAGTAGCAAGCCACTGGGCTCCAGAATCAGAGAGCACACACCGCAGAATATTTGCATTCTTGTATCTAACGTCCAAACTGACCTCATTAGCCCACCACAGAGCTAGTCCCCTTGCCATACCCTCAGGATCTACATAACAATAGTTAGGGAATTGAAGTCGTCTTCGGATCCGTTCCAAAACCTCCCTTTTATTCTTGGTTTCCATGAGAAACACCACACCAGGACGATGGGTTATGCATAACCCTCTGAGGATCTGGACTGTCAGAGGTCGTCCTATCCCCTGACAGTTCCAGCTGATGATTAGCATGGCCCGTGTGGCTGTTGAAGGCCAGCCACCAATGCCTTTGAGTTGCAAGTTTCGGATTCCACAGGAAAAGTGCTAGGGACCTAGAAAGGAGGTTTTCTGAATCTGCCCAAACAGTGAGTTCATCCCGAATTTCCACATTGAATAAGTGTGGCTCAGCAAACACACTAGCAGGGTTTCCTTTCGGTTTCAGAGATCTATGCACCTTTCTCTTTCGAGGGCGGGATTTGTCCCCAATGGAGGGAGGGAAAAGAGCTGGGGAGGAAAGTGTTGTGAGAGGGAAGTTCAGAGCCGGTACAAGTTCAAAGGATGGTTTAAGGGATTTTGTGGGGCTTGGGCTATTGAACTCCTCTGTAGAGGCCTTTCGTTTTAAAGATAGCCCATGAAAGGCCTTGGATAAGAAATTAGTAGGGGCTTCCTTACAGAGGGTGAGGGCTTTTGGTGAGGAAGTTGGGCTAGGAATGGGGCAACTGTTAATAGAAAGGTTTGGGCCTTTAGACAGGAAGGAGGGTGGGCTATTAGGAGAGTTGGGGCTTTCCTCCGAAGGCTCAGTAACAAAGTAGGCTAGCTCAGCATGGTTTTGGCCCGCTGGAACAGAATTTTCATTTAGGCTTGGCCCAGGTCGAGAAAGAGCCAAAGAGAAAGGTGGTGGGAGCATTACCTCAGGTGGTGGCAAAAGCTGAGAGTGCACAGGTAGTGGAGTAGGCGCTGTTACCCCAGGTGTATCCCCCATATTGCCATGTGGGGGACAAAGAGGCGTTCTGTCCTGTACTGCCGATTCTGCCAGAATTACGGGCAATGAAGGTGGTGGTGCATCATGGGCCATAGTACTGGTGTGGCTGGTCGGAGGGTCCGCCCTCGGAGCATCCCCGCATTCACGAGGAAGGTTAGAAGTACGCTGGAGTAAAGGGCTAATGCGTTCCTCCAACACATTGATCTGTTGCCTGTAAAATTCCACCAGAAGACCTATATTGCGAGCTACCCCAGTTCTGAGATCAGGCCCATAGCCAGAAAGACGTCCCTCCTCACTAGACACAAATTTACAGGAATTTCTGTCATGGCCAATTCTGCCACAATCGTAACAAAATTCAGAGAGGCGAGCATACTTGAAGGAAATCCATGCCTCTGTCATCTCGGATGAACCCTTGCTCTGTCGCTGTAGCATAAACCCCTTAGGGAGTGGAAGAATGACATTAATATCCACCCGAATTCGGAGAAAACTTCGTGAGAACAGAAGGCCGTCATTTGGACCTTCCACTCCAATGAGCTTCCTAATCGATCCACCAATAATCTGCCCATTACGTCTAGTCATTTTGGCCAAGGGGAGACCATGAACTTGAACCCAGAATGGACATTAATTAAATTCGATCTCAGGTATAGCTTTCTCTGAAGTATGTCTTGAGATTTATCATACAGAATGTGATTGAAATAGAGATTCAAGGAAAAGAAAGAGAGAGAGAGCTTACATGTGCAAATGTAGTTATATAAATGTATCAAGAATAAGAGCTGCAAAAGAGAAACCCAAAGAAAGAGAAAGCTCTCTCACAGATACAAATTGGTGTGAGAAGCGAAGCAAAGATAAGCTCACAACCAATATAGGAGAGAGAAGTGCAAAGATGATTCTTCAGTTCTCTCTCTCTTTTAGAACAAAGCTCAAGATAATGTTGAAAAACGGTTTTTCTAAAACCGGTTTTCATGAAAAAAAAATTTTGAACAAAAAGTATTTATGTTGAAAATATAAATAAAAAAAAAATTTAATGTTGAAACCGGTTTTTCTAAAACCGGTTTTCATTAAAAAAAATTTTAGAACAAAAAATTTTTATGTTGAAAATATAAATTAAAAAAAAAATTAATAGGAAAACGGTTTTACGAAAATCGTTTTTAATTAATTCAGAATAATTAAAATCTTAATCAAAAACGGCTTTAGAAAAGCCGGTTTTCATTTTCAAATTTTATTATTATTTTAATCGATGAATACGGTTTTGTGAAAGCCGATTTCTAAAAAATGACATTACAAAAACTGTTTTACCCTACTTTAGAAATAAAGATAAAAGTACACCCTAAAATGGGACTAAAATGTTCAAAACGGCACAAAGAGGGAAATTGGCCCTCAGCAGCTTATTTGTATCTGAGAAACCGATCCCTCAAATCTCTCTCTCTCGCTCTCTCTCTCTCTCTCTCTCTAAACCCTCAGCTCCTTCAACTCGATTCAACCTTCTTCAGCTCGGTGATTCATCATTCGGTCGATCTAATGCAAATGGTATGAATACACAACTAATTTTGATTTCGAAGCTCCACCGCCACCGTCAGCACCATCTCCATCTGCATCTGCATCTGCATCTGCATCGTCTACTAACCATCTGCACAATTTCGATTTCAAACCAATCTCAGTTTCGTCGATTCTTCTCTCTCTCTCTCTCTCTCTCTCTCTCTCTCTCTGCCTCTCTCTCGATCTCTGTCTCTCGCACAATCTCGTTCTCTGCGTACACATTATCTGTAATTTTTTTTTGGATAATTTTTTTTCTCCTAAAAATCTCTCTATACAAGTACATATATGAATTTATATATGTATCTCTATGTATTGATTGAATAATCATCCTTATTTTGTTTCCAGGCTCTCGAATGATCCAATCGTTGATTGGCAGTGACGGAAAAAAATCAACTCCTGTGAGAAAAGAAACCTAACTTTCTCATTGGAGGTAAGTTCTAATATATTTGTTTACATGTTTGTTCTGGTTTTGAACTTGTTTAGATTTGTATTGAACAACTCTGTTTTAGCTTTTTGTTCATTGTTTGGGAATTGATATCAATTTATTAGCATTTATAGTTTGAATGCCATGTTTATTGATAAATGTGATCATTGAAAATACAGTTAATTTGAGGTCATTTTATTATTATTATTTTTATTTTGTTTCACGCTCTAATTTTCTCTCATCCCTGTTAATTTGAAATTTATAAACATAATGGTGGAATTATTCCTAGAGTGATGGAAACTATATTCTCCAGAGAAGAGGCAACTATGGACTCAACTGAATTTCTAATTAGAGTATCTTTTATTGAGGTATCTATACATTCTGTTTGATTTTATTATACTGTTTTGTTCATTCCTTCTGATAAGGATGTTGACTTGCTTCCCTATGAATTTGTGCTATTGCAGATGTTTAAGGAAGAGGTATTTGATCTACTGGATCAAAGCCCACCAGTTCTTTCCCGATGAGATGGGGTGTCTCTAGCAAAGCCTGCTGGTGGACCTGCAAGAGTTCCTATCCAAATCAAAGAAACTACAAAGCGGGGGATAACACTTGCTGGTGTGACGGAGGCAGAGGTCAGGACAAAAGAAGAGATGGCTTCATTTCTATTGCGTGGTTCATTAACTCGTGCTACTAGGAGCACTAACATGAATAGCCAATCAAGGTGTGTAGTTTGTATAATGTACATATCACAACTGGTTGGATGCAAATGTAGCTCTATTCTTTAGCCATTTTGTGGTGTATCTGTTATTGTTCCGTGTCATTTTTCAGTTCATTTAGTTCTCATGTACACATGTTTTTGGTTTGTGTTTCTCAAAAAATTTTGGGAAAAATTTTCTACAATTAAGTTTTCAAAAGTAATCAAACCAAACAAATTTTTCCAAAAAAAATTTTCAAAACTTGTTTGGTTTACAAATTTTCCAAACAAATCTCTCTCTTATACACATCAAATCAATCACTTTTTCCAAAACTCTCTCTCAAAATAATTTTTCAAAACATCTTTTGAAAAAAAACCAAATCAAACAAATTTTCGTACTTTTTATCTCAAAACATGTTTCTCAAATACAAACCAAACAAGGCCAGTATCTTTTTGGTCATGTGCTGCATTTATATCGTTTGAAAAAATGGTTGCTTATAGGGTTATTTTGCTAGTGCCTTTCTTTAATAGCACCAATATTAAATACAATTAATCTTCTCTCTCATATTTCTTTTTTTCCCATTTGACGCAATTGCTTATAGCAATGTTTCATATTGAACTGGTTAATCAAGCATTGGCTGTATAATTAGTATATACTTTTCTGATTACGATTCAGCTTATTTTGTATTGTTCATTTTTCTATTTGACAGATTGAACTGACTACTTCCCTTTTTTTTAGTTTTTTAATTACTCTAAATGAAAAACTTGTATGTGTCGTGGAGACTCGTTAAGTTATGATAACAAATAATCCGTAATGTATTAGTATTTAATATTGCTGTAACATGAGGTGATTGCCCTTGCCTGAAGCCATGTAATTTGCATTTGTAGAGGCAATGTAATTTGGTAATCTGGATTCAGTTGAGCATTGTAGTACAACACTGAAGTTTCAAGGTTTTGAAAGGCCCTATTCTCAGTGAGAATATTGAGTCCTTCTGTCACTATTTGAAGATTCAGGTTGTTAGGGACATCAATTTGTTAGGAACCTCAGTGTTTGATTTATTCTGTGTGCTTGGGTCTGTTAGTTGTACTCTTCACTTTTCATTTTTCAAGTGCAAGTGTTTGCCAGCATTCACACGTGTCCTTTACAAACAAATACTCGTTCAAATTCTTTTATAATAAGATCCTGTCATTGTTTTGAAGATTTATTGCTGAGTTTTGTTCAATTCTTCTCAGTGCTCTTATTCTGACCTTTGCAACGAGTGGGTTCACATCATGTGCTCTACTGAGCACCTGTGTTTTGTAGTTGTGGGTTGCAGGTGAGGTGAACTTGGGGTGCATTTTGGACACATGAGCAAGTGAAGTCAAGTGACAGTGAATCTGTGGTTTGATGATGTGATGCTCAACCCCACACCGATTGATTCCCAGGTATGTCATTATTATGATTGTTAATATTGTTTAGAAGAAGGGCATGATTATGGGATCTCTGGTGTAAATTTATTATTGAAAAAGTCACTATCTCATGAAGTTGCATATGGAACCTGTGAATGGCCATAAATTTGCTTTGTTGTTATTTTTCATAAAGTCACTCAAAGCCATGTTTAAGCCCCAATTCATCCTGGAATTTTACTTTTTTGTAGTAAGCATAGTGTGTCGTGTGTTAGGTAAATCTAATCTTAGGCGATGAAAATACTTCCAATAGCAGTGAGAAAGTAATTGCCAAACACCACCACTCCAATCCTGAAAAGCAGATTCTAACTAGCAAAAAAAGGTGCAGGTTATGGCAATAGATCAATTCCTAGAAAGTAATGGCCAATTAGATACTAGAGTTTCTATAAGTTGTGTTCTTTGGTACCATGCTGGTTTCTTGGAAACTTCACAGAAGTACATAAATAAAGGAGCTGCAAAGGAAATAGAGCACAGACAACCTATTGTGGATCATAATAGTCCCAACCTAAGTCACCTGTCACCTAGTTCAGCTTACTTTGATAACATCGATCCTGTATCTCAGTATAAGATCTGGACAACTGAACAGGCATTTAATCGTTGTAACATCTCCACGGATTTGGTCCCAAGATACAATGTCTTTTCAGATAGAGTTAAAGCAGCATTTGTTATTAGTGATCCTGTTGATTGGGGCAGGGATGTTCTGGTATTTTGTCCAATTTTATATTGTATTTATGCACTAGGGTCCGGTTAAATGCATTTTGAAACCTAATGTAGTATCTTCCGTGATTATAGTGGTGGCCTTAAATTCACAAGAAATTGGTCAATATGTCATGGTTTACTTGCCAATATGTTTTGTGATTTGTCGTGCAGCAATTTAGTTCAGTCGAACAATTGTTTTAGTTTTAGGTGAGATAGCATGGAGGCTCAGAGCTTTCTAAATACGAGCATAGTGCACTCGGAACTTGAAACTCTTCAAAAGGGTGCATTATGAAGGGAAGAGCCTTGTACTACCTGGATAGAGCCATTGCCTCAGCCTTTCTACATTTTTTGAGGTTGTAATAATTTCCGGAGAAATGAAGGGAAATATCAGGAGTGAGAGTGTCATTTAGCGTCTACATATACAAATATTGTGTAGAAGTACATATTCCTATACATTAAAAAAAAAAAAGAACCACTTTCAGCTTTTTATGCATCAATCCTTGTGTAAGAAACTACATCTAATCTAATATAAAGATTAAGATGCAGTATGTTTAAAAAAATAAAAAGAAGATAAAGATATTTAATGTCGATGTTGCTTGTATTATGTATAACGGTAAGCAAGTTTTGTTAGCATCTCTGAGTGCTGATTTAAACCTCTTTCCCAACCATTTTTTTTCTTCTTCTTATGGGCTGAATTACACTGGAAGCTGTAAGAGGTGGGCAGCTGTGTGTCTTACACACTATAAAAGAGTACATGGAAGCTTACTACTAATAAAACTAAGAAATTTTTCAGAACGCAGTTCTCATTTTGCTATCCCTACTTGGAAAACAAAAAATAATATTATTGTTTTCTTTTGAAGACAGGTTTCAAGAACGACAGACGAAACAAAATTTCATACTTATTTTTTTTCTTTTTGCACAGGTATCTTCTTTTGGCACTTCAGTCTTGAACTTTTTCCTTATGAATGTGTTTATATATATAGAATGTGTGTTGTAGGGCTTTTTTACTCCTTTTTTTTTATGATAATGTGGCTGCATTTCTTTGTTGTTTGAGGTCTTTTAACCCTTGTGAATGGTGGGTTGTTGTTGTGATGAAGTTTGTTTGAGTAGGATTTGAGAGGTTTTAGCTGGGGAAGAAGCTTCAAAATGTTTGGGTTTACCCGCAGATGAATGAAGATTGGGAGGTAAATCCCTACCCATACTCTTCGGTATATACATGAATATAAACTCCTATGTTCACATAATGTTATGCATATATAGATATGGAATTTGGAAATGTATGGTAGTTGTTGACTTTCTGTTCTTTTTTTCCCGTGTCATCCGTGTAAAAAATGTTGACAATTAAATTACTTTGATTTTATCTGTATTAGCTGCGACTTATAAATGTCAATTAAATTGTATTTTTTTAGTTAACTGTATTTGTGATAAATGTGTTCCTTTCAGCGGAAGCACCAGATTTTGCAGTTGGTCTTAGCTCAAATCCTGATGCTGTTACTAGACATGATAAAAGATCAAGAAAGCGTACAGTTTCAGATGTGTTGAATTTGATTCCATCACTTCAATGTTTAGAGCTCCAGTCAGGATTTAGTAAGAGAAGAAAAATCATGGATTCGAGATACAGTCGTCAGACTTCACCACAGGCACTCATTTCATCGGAGATGATTGGCAAAACTGAAGGTTACAATTATGCAAGTCTAATAGCTGAAGCAAATAAAGGAAATGACCAGTGGCAAATAAGTAGACCAAATAAGAAAAATCATGGCTACTTATTAGGGTCATAACAATAGTCTACTTATTGGCCTAAGGTCTCCAAAATTCATCCAATATTTCGGAGTATTTCTATAACGTATATGACATGGTCCCAAAATTTTTCCAAAATTCTTTTGGTTTTCCTATATTTCATGAGTATTTTTACAGTGTACATGGGATGACTATTCACATATTAATATTATATAATAGCATCAGTGTGTACTTTGGCACCAAAAAATATGTATATAATATGTAAAAGCAGTTTTTTTTTTTTTCAAATATAAAAATCATAGAGGCAGATTTTTTTCATTCGTTGCAAAAATATAAATAAAATACCAGTTTAGAACTTTGACATAGGCTCTGATTGATTTGTGGATATGCTATTTTGTGGTTAATATTAAAACATGATTTGTGGATATGTTATTTTGTGGTTAATGATGATTGGATATTATTGAATGTGAAAGTGAATTAATGTTACATTTGCTATTTGAATAGGAGTTTTTATTTCATATTAGTGCTATTTTTTCAATTTTAATACAGCTATTTTTTTGGTTCAATCACATAAAATTAGTACAATTTAAAATAATAATAAAAAAAAGATATGACGGCATTTCTAAAAATGCTGCTATAACAATTAAATTAAAAATAAAAAAAAAGATACGACCGCGTTTCTAAAAATGCCGCGGTAAGGTTAGATTTTTAAAATAAAAAAAAATATGACGGCGTTTAAAAAACGTCGATAAAACCATAGTGACGTCATAGTACCGTTAAGGTAAGACATTTGGCGGCGTTTTTAAAAACGCCACTTATACTAATACAACGACGTTTTTTAAGCGCCATAAAGCTATAGCGATGGCCGCATTGTTGGTGTTTGGTACTAAATGTCACAAAAAGGATTGGCGACGTTTTTTGCACCTATAGCGGCATTTTTTAAACGCCGCAAAAAGTGAATTTTCCAGCAATGATTGTCAACTATATCATTTCTGCAAAAAATCACTTTGATCGGATATCAATAACTATTTGATCAGATCACATTTGTGTCAACATGTATGGTTTATATATTGCGAAACAAACGTCGACAAAAAGAAATTATTTATCCCAGTAATCCAGTTGGATAACCAATTTTACACAAATCTCATATATTGTTAATCCCCTTACCGTTACTCTAGAGCTACTTGTATAAAGAGTATTTTCAACCTACAATCAAAGCATGCCACAATAAGCATAGCAAGAGACAACCTTTCAACAGTAATTGCGGTGATATGCTAGAAATATTTTCTTGATTTACAGAAGGATTTGTGGTCGAAGATGACTTCATATGAGCAATTCTGCGAACAAAAACTGCAGGTTGTCTTGGTTGAGGAAGTGTTGCTGATTCACTTCCCAACAAAACAACCATAGATGATATATTAAGCCTATTTGTTGGATCTTCTTGGACTCGCAAAAGCTTAATATGAATGCATCGTACAACTATCACGGGGCATGATCCTGCCAACAATGGATCCAAAAATTCCAATTATTTTCCTTCATTCCATAGTCGCCATGCCTGTAAAATTGAGTTGTTTGGAAGTACATCTAATTTAGAGGGGGACAAAAAAAAGTAGTTCACATCTAGTTAGCCGAGTATTGTAATTTGAGGGGGTGAGAAAACACACATAAGCAAGGATGTCTGAGCACGTTTTGTAAGGTAAAGCCCACTGTTTCTTTTCCCACTAATGATCTCCAGCAAGATTACGTTGAAACTAAAGACATCAGACTTCACAGAAAATAATCTTCCTATTGCATATTGTGGAGCCATTTATCCTCTGCATCAAATATGATAATTACATATTAGGGTGTATTGGAAGGTACATATTGACTGATATTTAATATTATGGGAAAAACTTGCTATGTTCCTACAAATCCTGTTGGTGTTAGCAGTGTTTTGGTCTTCACCAAAAATCTATGCCATTCCAAAGTCTAAAATCTCTGCGACCATTTCTTGGTCCAATAAAACATTTTTAGGCTTTAGATCCCTGTGTATGATTTTAAGCCTCGAGTCTTCGTGCAAATAAAGTAGTCCGCGAGCAATCCCATAAATAACGTTGAAGTGTATATCCCAATGAAGTTCTATACGCTTCTCTAAATCTGAAATCATACAAAAAATTAAAGCTCTCCAGGTAATGTTTTGTTTATTTTCTTAGCTACATTGAGCTATGAGTAAAGTCAATAGACAAAAAATAAAATAACAAACCAAATAAGAAGAGATCGAGGCTTTTGTTAGGCATGTATTCATATATGAGTAGTTTTTCTTCTCCCTATATGCCACAACCCAAAAGCCTGGCAAGGTTTCTGTGTTGAATTTTTGCAATTAGTATGACTTCATTCATGAACTCCTATAATCCTTGTCATGATTTTCTCGATAGTCTTTTAACTGCGATTTCCTTGCCATCAGACAAGACACCCTACTAATTTCAGTTGAATATTTACTAATCAAAAAGGATAAAGTCCTACCAATTTTAGGGTCCAAAAATCGGCCAATATTTTGGACTTTTGATATTTATCGATATATCAGCTGGTATCAACCAATATCACCAATGATATCTGTATCCAGATACTGTCATTTAAAACAATATTAAGCACTACCTGATTGATCACATTGAATATAGAAGAAACTGTTACCTTGTAAACAGTGTCGAACCCACCTTGTCCGAGCTTATTTGAATCAGAAAAGTTGTTTGTGGGTTGCCTTTATAGTACCCAACTCCATGAAAGGCAGTTCCTGAGAACTGACAAATTCACCTACTTGATTAATTGCAACACTAGGTGGGTTTGCCAATTCATCTAACAATGCACTTTGGCTTCTTTCCTCATCTGCAGGGTTTCATCATCTGCAGGGGAGGAGACTCTTCTGTTAATGGTAGTTATTACAGAATATGGGAATGTAGATTGTTGGTACTTTAACATCTGGTCAAGAAAGTCTTGAAATACAGAAACAAAATACAGAACCAAACACAGAAAATGCAGGTTTTGTGTATGATTTTGTGTTTGGTTTGTGTTCTCATACTTACTATTTTGTAAATTTACCTTTTTGTGCTCCGTTGCTTCACTGACGCCAAATAACATAGTAGCCAGCAGCAAGACCTGCGAGCATGAATTTTGTAGCACCGGTAACTAGCATAGCCACCATAATCTTTGTCCTTTGCCCTGTTTGTTTAGGGAAAAAACCTTTGGTTTCAATTTCAGTTTATATTGTGTGCACTAGTCTATTAAAATAATAAAATTTTGGCAAAAATAGACTTGTTTGGCAAACTGTTTTCAGGATAGAAAACACCCATATGAGGAAACACTTTAAAGTTTATGAATTTTCATAAATCAACTTTTGCCCAAGATTTAAAAGACGTCATTTACGGTTTACTATTTTTTGACTGCCTAAACTTCAAAATGGTTTCACTAAAACCAACTAGCTTTACATGTTAATAGATGCTTAGACAAGCAAGACAAAGTAACTAATTTACATTCAATTTTCTTGCCACTGGTGCAGCTGAAACCTCATGTTGTAGTTTCTGCTGAAAACTATACTACCTTGGCCATAACTGCAGCATGCTTCAAGGTCTCCAAATTCAAATTTCAAACAAGCTCTACAATTTCTATGAGAGATGTCTCTGGTGCACTATACAAGCCCATTCATTTCTTAAAAATTTGGTTATAAGGATTGACAGTGGCTTCATCCAACAGTTTATTCATAAAATCCTTCAAAACCTTAATAAAACTAGCACGGTCTGATATACTTTTCTCCTGTTTGTTTGAGTCAGGATACATTCCACTATAGACCATCAAGGAAAAGAAAGCCACGTGTAAGTATTGTACTTGACAAAATTCAACATAATTGCATTTTCGGTTGGACACTTCATGATCTCCTGCCTTGCATTCTTTATGCAAACCCCACACACTTCAGGAGTGACATCCCTCTGCAAAGATCTTGCCCATAAACTTGATCAGTATTGTTTTTGATTGCAATGCTGTTGAAGCCTTGATTTAATGGAGTGGTCGATGATAAGAACTCAAGAAGGATTTTTAGGTTGTTCCCAAATCTTCTATTTGGCGTTGTTTGCACCATAAATTATTTTCTGTGATTGTGGCCATATCCAATTTAATGATTGTGGCCTGTCGATCATGGCCAAATTTTGCATTCTTTATGCAAACCCCACACACTTCAGGAGTGACATCCCTCTGCAAAGATCTTGCCCATAAACTTGATCAGTATTGTTTTTGATTGCAATGCTGTTGAAGCCTCGATTTAATGGAGTGCTTGATGATACGAACTCAAGAAGGATTTTTAGGTTGTTCCCAAATCTTCTATTTGGCGTTGTTTGCACCATAAATTATTTTCTGTCAATTGTGGCCATATCCAATTTAGGCCTCGTTTGGGAAATGGCTATTTTAGTATGCTATTTGGCTTTTTGGCTATTTTAGTTTTGTATTTGGGAAGATGAGATGAATTTTTTGTTGAGTTCTTGTATTGGAAAGTGTGTTGAAATGATTTTTAAATTTAAAATGACAAATTTATCCCTAACTTTTTATTTTTTAAATTGATATAAAGGGGCAAAATGGTAATTTTGCCGTTGATGTACCAATTTCCGGCTGTGACAGTGTAGGCAGCCTACACTATCTAGCGCAGAGCCTTTTCCAGCGCAGAGCCTAATTTTTTTTTTTTTTTGAAAAACTGTGAACAGTGCCGCTTTTTTGCTTATTTCTCATTTTAGGCTATATTAGCCTCACCCACCTCTTCCCAAATGGCGCCTTAATGATTGTGGCCTGTTGATCATGGCCAAATTTAGTCTCATTGATTATGGCTAGTCGATTTTGGTCTATTTAGATCATGATTCATCTTTAAAGACCTATTATTATTATTATTATTATTGTGCAGGAGCCATGGAAAGTGTCAAATGGTTAAAGGAAATTTTGAACATGTGGCAGTTTGTAACATTTTGTAAGGGATGTGGCATTAACTTCAACTTCCACCTCCTTTTGTGGCAATGTGCATAAGTGGAAGAAAACTACCTTGGACAGTTTTATAAACCGTGGGACTGAGCCTATTTGTAGGCTAAAGGAGATCAAACAGAGAGAACACTTAGCTTTTAGATTTAGGAGTAGCTCTGTAATTTAGGAGTAGTTTTCTCTGTAAAATTGTACTTGGTAACTTCATGAACTTTAATAGTTTCATTATGAAATTACTCTTTGTTT